TCCACAGATCAGAGGGGGCAATTTATGCAAATTCTCATGCGTAACATGGTTGCAACGAACAGATGGGGAGGGGAGGAGAAGGGGAATCTGATCACCTCTCTTGCAGCAGTAGGCAGTTTGGCTTGTGGTAACAATGCCTCCGGAACAAAGGGTTCTCTGTGCTCCGCATCTGGTAGGCAGATAGCCAAAAATGCTGTAGCAGTAATGGTCATTCAGGTCTTCAGTGGTTCATTTGATATTTGCCAGGTGCCCGCAGTATGAGAGTGGGCAGGAACACCTGGACAGGCTGTCCTGCTCACCTGTGGCACAGAGCGGGTGCTGTCCCTTGGCCAAGTCTCATTCCCGAGGTTTTGAGAACGGCTCTGAAGAGCAGGGTGAGAAAGGGTCCTGGTGCTGTCTGGGTGGCTTTGGGTTGGTGTGTCCTCCTGCCCTGTTTCAGCAGCTGGTAGAACCTCGCAGAGTTGCCAGTGACCTCTCTGGACAGGATGGCCAACTGGTTTCTAGATTGCTGGGTTTGTGTTTCCTTTGTTGAAGCTGTCTCAGCAACTATTCTTCTGCCTGATTTTGCTACAAATATGTTGCCATGGCTCCTTCTAGGACCAACTGAGCCATCTTTAGTTCAGGTGGAAGATCCTGCAGTCAGAGACTGCAAAGACTTTGGGTGAATATTTATGACTTTATCCAAGATGTGCCCATCTAGAAGTCACACAGCATTTCTCATGAAACTTGTGTTGGAAATTTTACTTCTTTTTTTTTTTTTAAATCTGCACAAGGCTGTCATTGGCTTCCTTCTTTGCAGACACCTGTGACTGTCCCAGGAAGACTGAAAGATACTAAAGTGGGACTAAGCCATAGGGGGGAAAAAGAAAAATCAGACTCTTCAGCCGGATTTGGATGCTGTGCTCCATTTTGCTATGAAATGCCTCTTATTTGTGCACTTGAATATTTTATCTAGGCTGAGGGCTGCTTTGGTGGAGAGTCTCTGTGAAACCTGTGACTGTCACTTTTCCTTCCTGTCACCACCACAATGTTCCTATCAAAACCAGGTGCTGGTTTGAGAAGGTCTTATCTCCTCCTTTTGGGAAGGTGCTGCTCTCCTGCAGGAGGTCTCAGCAGTGGCAGATCCATGGAGGATTAGAAGAGCTTCCTCCTGAGTAACAAGTATTTTTTCCCTTTCTGAATGTGCTACCTCCACTGAGCCAAAACCTTTATGTTCCTTTCGCTCCCATTTGGTTTTCGAAAGCAAGAGCTGCTGGAGACAGAATGGAGAGGAGGTGTGATGTTGGACAGCTTGGTTTTAAGGCTTGGGGGTGTTGGTACCTATCTCCAGACTGCCAAGAACCTGCCAAAGTAGCTGTCTCCTGTGGTAGGGTTCCTTGGGAAGGAAACATCTAAGGTGCAAGAGTCAGAGCTCTTGGGACCCTTTTTTTTCCTTGACATTGTTGACCCTCATGGCTAAACATGGGGAGAGACATCATTCCTCAAAATTTTAACAAACCTTGAACTTCTAACCTCCAATGTTGGATAACTGCAGCCTGCACCAGCAAGTTAAATCGTTCCCTGGGAGAGAGACTTGACCACTAAGCTAAACAGTTTTCTAGTAAAGTGATCTGCTTCTTTGGCTATGTTTAAAGAATTGAAGCAAATATTTATTTAAGGGAGGGGGGGGAGAATGGGGAGAAAGACAATTCAACCAGCAAAAAAACCCCTTTGTTAAAGTAGTTATGATTATAGATTATTTCCACACCCTATTAAAAATGAATTTAGGAGTGTTCATGAAAGTCTTAAGTGCCGTTTTCCACACGTTTCTCCTACATCCAGTTCTGGGGTAGTTGACCTGTTGTGTCTCCTCCAGCTGTTGGGGACTGGAGGTGCCACCTCCATTCCTACTGGAGGGCCCAGCCCCTCGTCCCTGCCGCCCCTCCGTGTCCCCTCACCCCTCGCCACC